CACCCCCCCCCCTCCCCCTTCCCAAAAAATAAAAATAAACACAAGAAAATGATAGAAAAGCATAGCATTACATAATATTCACAAAAAAAAAAAAGTAGTTTTTGGGGGACAAATCGAGTTCTCTAGGGTTTTGGGGGGCCAAAATTCCCCCAAATCCTCTTTCCCCCGTTTAAAGGGGGTGGGAATTACATTTTTTACCCTTTGGCAAGGGCAATTTCCGCCCTTTCCAAAGGCCTCTGGATGCGCCCTGCGCTATGCGCCTGCCCAGATTACCATCTCTTGCCTTTCTGTGCATCTCATGAATAAACTCTGAAAATGAAGCTCTTCATTGATGGGTCTCTCCTAAATAAAGTTTTTTCTTCATCAAGAGATCAGATTGGGAAAGGATGGGGCATAACCTATTCACCGAGTTTCATTTGAGACACAAAACAAGACCTGTTCGCTGACCCTGTGTAGATGATATCCTAGGGATAGTTGCGAAGGACGATTAATTGTTCAGTTTTCCTTGAAGGTTGGAGATGCTAAGATGTCAGAATGAGAGTTCTGAAATTGAAAACAGCAACGCTATATTGTTTGAGACTGCATCATAAAATCATCCATAATTGGCCCCCAACTATTTTTTGAGAAATTGTGAGAAACTTTCTTGACCTGGTGCACTAGTCTGAGGAATGCTCTCTATGACTTTGGAAATTTCCTTCCTGGTAGTAATTAGAGTAAGCTTTTCATTATTTTCTTGAGCATTGGACTAGAAAGAGTGGATTGATCATTACATATCTTTGAAGATGATAGCGTCTTTCAAAGAGATTAAACACGGCAGTGCTAGTCATTGACTTGTATGTCACTATTTAGTATTACTTTTTTTAATATAGTTTAGATTTATATGAATAGGTCTGCATGTTCTAGCCGACAAGAGGAAGTGCTGTTTTATCTTCCAAATATGGTCTGTGAGTATCACCTAAGGACCGAAGGCAACCTGAGTCGCAGATGATTAATTTTTCACCTTAACTGTTTGATGTTCTTATAATCTTTGTAAAGGATTAAAACAAGTCCACTGATAGCAAATGGGATCCCAAGGAATTCTGTATCATAAGCCTTATCTGCCACATTTGATAGCCACCTTCAAACTGAGTTAAGAATTTTCCTAGTTGTAACCATCTTTCGAACATGAAGTTCTGATATTGTTACAGCCCTCGTTTCCACATGCATAAATCAGATCGCAATTCCCTTCTCAAAGTTGTCTTTTCAGCTCCACTGATACTCCAAAACAGGGTTTACTTGTTAAATAAATAACTAAATAAATAAATGAGAAAGCAAGTTGAGCAGAGTGAGGTTGGGTGCTTTGAGTTCTAGTAGGTTTATGGGACCTCTCTTAAACTTTTCCGTGTCTGACAGTAAGTGATATATATGAGGATCCTGCATCCTATGAAGAGTGCTTTGAGGACTGCATCGTATAAAGTGATGATGGTAAGGAGGAGGTCTCTTCATGGAGAGCTGCCTTCCTCTTCCCTTGAAACCCGATTTAACATAAGTGTAAAAGGGTTGCCAGCTATGTAACAACCAAATGCATGTCTGACAGGTTTAAAACTGTCAGACAGAAACAGTATCAGATGTGTGCTTAGTTGACATGGCATGCGACATGCAATTATATGCATCAGTGCCAGAATGTTGAGACCATAGTTGTTGGGAGTAGGAGCAGGTGCGGGTGTGGGTGCGAGTGCGGGTGCGGTTGTGGGTGTGGGTGCAGGGGTGCGAGTGCGGGAGCCCGGGATCGGCACTTGGCTAAAGCTCCCTACCCTAGCGATCTTGTATATATGAAGTTATGAACTACATGTAAATGGGAGTGTAGGGGGAGCTCCATATATATATATATATCTAAAGAGGGTGTGATTTATATACAACGAACTAACCAAGGCCCTAAACAGTCAAAGTAGGGTGCACCTTTAATTAGTGTTGAAAGACGTTTCAATACTAGAAATCTTTGTGATGATCTGAAAATTTATTTTCATATCTAATTATAAAATTTAATGCTTAAAAAATTGTGTACATAGGGTCGATCTATGAACACTTGAAAATCCTGAAAATTGAAGGTCCGAAAATGCATTACAAGATGCACTATATCCAAGACTTAAAATCCTTTTTTTCTCATGTCCATGCATCTTGAGGTCAAGATGATCAATTTGAGGATTTTTGGGCATCAAATCAACCTCCTCTAGTGAAAATTTTTAGGTGCGCTTTAATTTGATTGTTTAAGGGCTTGCCCTTATATAAACGTTTTCCATATACTTATGTATGTATGTATGTATGTATGTATGTATGTATGTATGTACGTGTATGTATGTATATGGGCAATGATTTCATGCAACGGTTGTATAGTAATATGATGCAACAACCTTTAAAAACCATGTTATGGCCATTTGTTTGAAATCCAAATTTTAAAATATACACTCTTTTCATTCTAATGAACAATCACAAAAAAAGAAAAAATTGAAAACACAACCTAGAAAGTATTTTTTTAGCCCAATTAACATAGGCCATTCATTTTGGTGAGATGCTTAGATCTAGGTCTTAGAAGGATTTTTTCATTTCCAATTTTTTTGGATGGTTTTATTATCATTAGATGAACAATGGCAAAAAAGAAACAAATGATTTTGAGTTTATAAAGGTCAAGATCTTGAAATTCACAAAATGAATAGTCTAGATTCGTTTTTGGAGGGGACTCATTTTGGCCATATCTAGGGTTCAAATTGAACTTTTATGTTTGGGGGGATTGATTATTGAGATGAAGAGAGTGTGTATGTAAAATTTTGGGTCATACAAATACCACAAAGATGGTTTTTTATAAGTGTCATTGCATTACACTATGATACAACCGTTGCATTATACTATGATACAACCTTTGCATTAGATCATTGT